ATATATATATATGAAAATGAATGAATATGAAAATGAGCCCATTTGAACTCAAACAAGTAAATGCTATTACACAGATGTTTTTGTGCCTACAGTTGTCACAGCATTTTAAGTCATGGTCTGGTTAACTATTAGATTACGACCAGCATAGCTAAATTTATCTGGCCTAGTTCAGGCCTACACAATGCGGTGGTCCATCTATTGGCCAAACCAAACTGGGCCAGCTGCGGCATGCCATCTTAAAAACAGTGCCATCATAACCAGATCTGGCCCTCACCTGTTTATAWGTCTGTTTAAAAGATCAGGACAACAAAACGTTACATCTAAACCAACCCTTCAAAATAAAGGCACTACTAAAAAAGCAAAATAAGAAGCATCACACAGAGAGTAGGTACAATTTTTATGCAATTGAGCAATAAACTTGAAGATTTTAGTGTGATGCAGTTGTTTTATTTTTGCTGGGATGGCAGCAGTACACCATTTTATTTTTAATTTTTGTAGGAAAAATATTTACCTATAAATTTGCCTTTTTTCGTGTTCTGGGTATGTTTTTATTTTCTCCCACACTGTTTCTGCAGAGCTGCGTAGGAGTGGTTTCAGATTCTATAAGTAGCTCAGCGCCGCTAGAACAGCACTGTCACATTTGTATTTGTTTGTTTGTTTGTTAGCAAACACATCTGGTGTCACATACAACCAGACGGGGTCTTCCTGTTACATTCTAAGAATTAGGCGCTGTTGTATTATTTACAGAAGCACCAGACATTACTCTGTTAGCGCTGCCTTTGGGTTTTTCTGTTCGTATTTTTAGAAATCTGTGGTTTTCAGCGATGGGTTAGAAACTGTACCGCATCTGTGCACAAGTACAGCTGCATGTATTTTAGTAACAAACCACCATGTTTTAGTTCCTGTTAATGGAACATCTAATAAATGGATTAAAAAAGAAGGTGATGTCAGAAGTGGCTGTGCGTTGCGTTAACACGCAGCAAAAAACTGAATGGATACTAAATCTATGGGATTTTACAAAAAATCAGTTTAACTGTCTGTTTTTTTTTTATTTTCTGTGGAGATAAACAAGTATTTTAAGTAAAAGCAGTCATCTTCAATCAGTATTTCTTACTTTTTTCCATCAGGATGAGGGTAAAGAAGCTGCCCATGATCCTTGCTCTCCACCTGAAGCGCTTTAAATACATGGACCAGCTGCACCGCTACACCAAACTGTCCTATCGCGTCGTCTTCCCCCTGGAGCTCCGCCTCTTCAACACGTCGGGGGACGCCACCAACCCCGACCGCATGTATGACCTGGTGGCTGTCGTCGTTCACTGTGGCAGGTGGGGTTTTTTTCTCCTAAGACCTTTTTTGTTCAGACAAAAGTATAAGTGATAACTAGTATTCAAGTCTGATATTATTCTACCATCATTGTTTTCTACCTTGCTTTGAACTGCTTTGTTTGGACATTCAGCTTGTTCCAAAGCCTCACACCACAGACAAAATTACAGAAACTTTTTCTTGTTCTGATCATCTTTGTTTGATACCTTTTAACTCAAACTCCTTCGCTTCTCTTGAATGTTGACGTTTTTGAGAAACAGTTCTTTTAGAACTCTGAAAAAACACTTGATAAAACTGGCTAACCCTGCATGTTTTACTTGTTTCTCTGCTTCAACAGAGCTGATTAAATGATTGAATTACCTCTTCAAGTTCTACAGAAGTCTGTTAATCCCCCATTGGTGCAAGTCAGGTGCGTTGAAGCAGGGAAACAAGTAAAATATTTAGGATAGCAGCCCTCGAGGACCAAGACTGACCACCGTTGGGCTAGCCTGTACCACTTGGTCTACCTTATACTTAGGTCTCTATAGGCCTTTTTGCTCTGCAAGCCCTGACTCGTGTCGGTCTGGCTTCAAACCCAGATGTGATGTGTTTGCTTTCGCCCTTTATTGCCCAGTTCTACCCCAGTTTCTGGAACCCCGAGACCTGTGGTTCTATCCAGGCTGAACTTCTTGGTCAAATATGACATCAGCTACTGTTGCTCCTTGATTGGTTCACTAAGCTTTGGGATTACATCACACAGATAAGAATAACTTTACATGAATCATTTGCAACAAATGTAAATTTCTTTTTCATTCCAGTTTAGCGAGCTACCAAACAAAAACAAGCTAACAAAAAGCTACGGTTAGCTTTCCGTTCTCTGTCGTACTGCCCTCTCATTTAATATACATACAGCTAGATGGTCCGGTACAGTCTTTGGTACTTTTCCTTTGAGTTTGATGTAGTCCATTATTGTTTTATCGTAAATAAAATAAAATAAGGTTTGTCTAACATTATGACCCCGCCCACATCGAGACAGCTCTCTGATCAATCCAAACACAACCAGGGTCGGTAAGACTGAACCGACTGGATTGAAAGGCGGGCCAAGCTGAGCCTTACAATGCAAAGATGCCTACATTGAGCTGAAATTTAGTGTGGTAGTAGCTGAACATTGTTCCCACCATACGACCCGAGGGTTTATAAAACAAGCAAGAATTTGATTTAAACGTCAAGGCTTTGGGCAGTTCTCAAGCAATGCAAGTTTAATTTGTTTCAGCCTTGAGATAACTGTGTTCGGAGCATTTATTTTTCTTTACCAGCCTTTTTTTTTTAACAGCATTTTCCACCTGATATATTGTGCTACTTGTATAAATCCAATATTGTGTCACAAGGTGTCTCTGTTCTGTGTCTGCACTGCAGCGGTCCAAACCGCGGACACTACATCACCATCGTGAAGAGCCATGGCTTCTGGCTGCTGTTTGATGATGACATTGTAGAGGTGAGAAAAGCAGTTTGAGTTTTTTCTTTCACTTTACAACAGGGGTTCTTAACTTTTTTGACCTCAGGGCCCAATTTGTTGAACATAAAGTGACATGATACCCCGTCAGACATTACCAATGTATGGATCAAAATGATAATAATTCTAAATCTTGGTTTAATTTCTATTGTATTTACATCATAACTAAACTATCATATCTAACATAACTAAATTAAATACACTTACAGTTTAAAAGTAAAACTCCTGTCAAATAATCACAAGACATGATTTTGACAAACATTTTTTTTATATACCGTATTTTTCGGACTATAAGCCGCGACTTTTTTCCTGAACTTTGAACCATGGGTGCGGCTTATACGTGGATTTTTTTCTTCAGCCACCAGGGGGCTCGTATGCTCCATTTGCTTCAACCACTCGCTTAAAAAAAAAAGAAGAAAAAAAAAAAGAAAAAAGCGATCGCTTCCAGAGCCGACTGTTGTACTAGGAAGCAGCTATTTAAAGATAGTCAGTGGCCAAAAACTCATAAAAGGGGATAAAACAGACATTTTTCACGGTGGAATCTGACTGATAAAAACTTTGGAGCTTAATCCAGGACCAGTTTGTGGATAAACTTCGAGTGAAGAGCCGCAGACTTTTTTTTTTCGGCATTGCACTCCCCGGGGAAGGAATCCCATGCAGTGATGTATGCTGGAGCCGGAGGGCTTTCCCAGCAGCTGGGCTCTAGGTTTCTCGGGGGAACTAAAGGTCAGTGCGAAAACAAACACCGAACAATCACGTGATGGTGCGTCGACCGGTCAACAGCTGAGCGACCATACTGCCAGCTTAGCCAGAGGTGTAGCGCCATTTTGTTTTAGCTAGTAGCAGACACGACACGACGGATCTTCGACAGACACGATGTTGGTCAGTATGTGGGCCCACATCACGGATTCGGTGAAAGCAGCCATCAAGAAAACAAACTCAATTCCTGCTGTTATTCCTGGAGGTACAACAAAGTTTTTGCAACCCCTGGACATCAGTGTGAATCATGCTTTTAAAGCAGCACTCGGGGCTGAATGGGAGGCTTGGATGACTGACGGGGATAAATCATTTTCAAAAACTGGCCGAATGCGAAGAGCGTCATTTTCTGATGTCTGCCAGTGGAGCAGAGTGAATGAGTCCACCATCACCAATGGGTTCYDAAAGGCTGGACTGCTACGTGAAGAGGACACCACAGCTTCAGAGCCAGCATCACCCCGGGAGGACAGCGACACAGAAAGCAACACTGAACAGATACCACTGTGTGACGCAGCTTTTCTCAGCTTGTTTAACTCCGACACTGAAGAGGAGGACTTCAATACTTTCAGTGCGCCGGAGGAAGATGAATATGACGTTTTGTTGGACCAGAAACTGTTAAAGAAAACTACCAATATGAGGTCAGTTAAACGAACCGTATTCCTCCGAACTTTAATTCTTAAAGGTTTGCTTTTTATGTTTTGATGTTGA